CTTTCCCTGCAAACTCCAGGCCCTGCTCCCCTCCCCGCCCCCCCCATACCCATCTTCCCCAGCTTACTCATGCTTTGTGCCAGCAAGTTTCATCCCTACTGCAGCCTGGGACATGCAGTATGGCCCCAGCCCAGCCCTACAGCACTGCCTGCATCACTGCTACAGGTCTGGATTGGGGCTGGAATCCATGCTCCAAGCTTCAGTGGGAATGGAGTCTGCCAGCAAAGAGAAAGGGGAGAAGAGGGGAGGGAGAGGCAGGCAGGGGGCAGAGGCTCCAGGGAGAAGGGGGAGATGGGGGAAGAAAGGGGTGGGGGCCTGAGGCTGTTGTGGGGCAAGCACAGTGGGTTAAGTGGGGAGAAGGGTATAGCCAGTAAAATCACAGAATCATAAAAAGTTAGGGTTGGAAGGGACCTCAACAGATCATCTAGTCCAACCCCTTGCTCAAAACAGGACCATCCCCAACCAAAGCTTTGTCCGGCCAGGCCTTGAAAAGCTCCAAGAAAGGTACCACCTCTCTGGGTAACCTCTTCCAGTGTTTTACTACCCTCCTACTGAGTTAATTCTTTCTAATATCTAACTTAAACTTCCCTTGCTGCAACTTGAGACAGTTGCTCCTTGTTCTGTCATTTGCCACCACTGAGAAAAGTCTAGCTCCATCCTCTTTCGAACCACCCTTCAGGTAGTTGAAGACTGCTATTAAGTCTCCTCTCTGTCTCCTCTTCTCTAAACTAAATAAGCCCAGTTCCCCCAGTCTTTCCTCATAAGTCATGTCCCCCAGCCCCCTCACCACTTTTGTCACCCTCTGCTGGGCTCTCTCCAATTTGTCCACATCCTTTTTGTAGTGGGAGGCCCAAAATTAAATACAGTACTCCAGATGTTGCCTCACCAGTGCTTAATAGAGGGGAATAATTACTTCCCTTAACCTACTGGCAATACACCTACCAATGCAGCCCAGTATGCCATTAGCCTTCTTGGCAACAAGGGCACACTGCTGGCTCATATTCAGATTCTTGTCCACTGTAACCCCCAGGTCCTTTTCTGCAGAGCTGTTGCCCAGCCAGTCAGCCCCCAGGCTATAGTGGTGCATGGGATTGTTCAGTCCTAAGTGCAGGGGTGGGGAGCTGCTTTCCCCCCCACTACCTGCCCCCCCTCCAACTGCCTGCTCCTCATTGCTTCCATACCACCTGCCTGCCCACTGCCTCCCCCGCTGCCTCATCCCCACTGTCTGCCCTCCCTACCACTGCTTTTCCTGACAGTGGTGGTGGGGAAGAATTTAAGATGACCCTCCAACAATTAGATTCTATACATGGAAAATTATAAATAAAATATATAGAGATGTTCCCTGTATAGAATCTAATTACTGGGGTGCCGTATTAAATTCAGGGTCACCTTGGATTCAGCTAAATATGGTACTTGCTGCCATGGCTGTGGAATCCTTGCTGACTGGGATTTCATAGTCCTTGCAAGATGTCATGTTCCAGGCCCAAAACAAGACCTTGCACTTCCAGTAATGAACATAAACAATCATCACCATCAACTGTAGAATGGAAGAACTTTATATAACAGATTTGAAGGTCCAAAATACATACATCAGTCATTAAATTATCAAAGAACAGTCATGCAGTCCGAATCCAGCCTTTTTAAACAGCTACTCAAATGAGAGCTTCACTTAACTAAGTTTTATATAGAATATTTGAGTTTGACTGCTGTCAGCTTTGAAGCACTCACATAAATTGTGGGCTCATTTGTACAGACTACAGATCTATTCCAATTTATCCTGACTCTCTTTCCTTCTAGATACATGCAGAAGATATAATTAAAATGTATAAAGTGATTTCCTAAAGAATTACATAGTAGGGCTCAATTTTATCCCTTTCTCCTCCCGAGCAATCCTTACACAGCACCTTCACCATACACTCTGCCAAACACCCTCCTCTCACAAAATGTACCTTCACCAGTGCAGTTTCCATGATTCCCTCTCCCCACAGGAATCCTCACTCACATAAGCTGTATCGTCACCAGGGCCCCCTTAGCATGGCCCCACATTAACCCCTCATATTGTCCTTTCACTAGTCCCCACAGGAATCTCCTTTCACACAGGTGGTACCTTCATTAGAGCTGCTGCTGCTCGGAAGCTCATTTTGGCAACAGATTCTCTCTTCCGCCGTCGTGGTAACCGATTGAATCCAGACCGTGAGCTGGTAAAGGAGCACAGTGATGTGGCACCTGGAGTGATAGGTGTATGAGGCATGCTGCAGCCATCATTATCATCAGCCATACGAAACGCTCGCCCTCGTGCCAGAGGATCTATAATCTGCAGTCAACAAGAGGACCTCAGTCAGAAAGTCCTGCATGCATGCCTAGGCCTGTGCCTCACTCTTGGGTCCTTTTCTCCTTTACCTAATGCACAACAAAACATAATAATGGCCAGACTGGGTCAGACAAGATGTCCATAAAGCCCAGAATTTTGTCTGTTAAACTGGCCAGTAGCTGAGACTTTAGTGAGACATAAGAAAACCTGTATATGGAATAATTCATACCTGTGAAAGGCACACCCTTATCCCTGACACTACCTTAAACCCCATATTCCTTCCAAAATTTTTGTTAGTATTTACTATTATAACTCTGAATGTTCTTACTATTCATAAAAATGTCTAATTCTTCTTTGGTTCTTCTTCAGTTCTCATCCTCAACAAAATCCAATGGCAGTGAATTCACCAGAATACCCATATAACATATGAAGGAGCTTGTCCAATCACGGCCTCTGGCCTCTACACTCCTAACTGTGCTTTCTCTTTTTTGAGTGCTGTGCATGGCAACCTGATTAGGCTGTACCGCTGATTTATATAATCCATATTTTTTTCATATTATTTCCCAACTTATAGTGTAATATAAAGAGGGCTAGCTGTGCTCTGACACAATTAATTAGCTATTTTGTGCATCTCTGAAGACAGAATGTTGTGGCCTATATGTAACTCCTGTCAGTAAGCAAGCTGCAAGAGGATGTGGTTTCACAACTCAGATCTTGACAGACATTAAAGGAAACAATCTGAGATAGGTAAGGGTCTCTGTGAGCACAGAGCTGGGTGGGGAACAGGCTCCCCAGCCCCCACCAGCAGGGAGCTCCCAGCACCAGCTACACGATTGTGGGGCCAGCACTGGAAGACCCTTATCTCCCAGCGCCAACTCTGTGGTCCTGGGGCTGGTGCTGGGAGATAAGGATCTTCCAGCCCCCACTCCCTGATTGCAATCTTGGGGCTGGGGGTTTGCCCTGATAGCAGGCAGCTCCCAGGGGAAGGAAGCAATTTCCCACCCCCTTGTGGCTAGATGATCGGAAGCAGATTTGCTCCTAGTCAGGCACCTACACAAGAGCTACTGTGCCATTGCTAATCAAAAGTAAATTTGCTATTTGTATTTGCAGGTAGCAAATTTACTCACAAGTAGCAAGGTTTACTGCACAGTAAGCATGTGCATGTGTAGATCTCGTGCATCTCATGTAGACACGCCCACTGTCTACACATTCAAGAGTATTAGGCTGAGGTCAACTAATTAGCACCACACCACCATAAGATAGTACTGTTGTGGGTATGAGGGTTTGTGAGTAATTTCATGAGTAATCTTACAGCAGAATAATTAATTAAGATTAAATGCACATTTAGATGCTGACCACAGGCGTAAATTGCAGGGCTGTGCGAGGCTTCAGGCTGTGCTTCGGATCCGGAGAAGCTCTGGATGCTTCGACGTCCAAAGCAGTATGTCTGGATTGAAGCGTTTGCTTCTTTAGGCTTTCCAAAGTGGTTTGGAGCTTCCAAACTGCTTTGGAAAAGCTTCGGAGCTGCCTCAGAGATCCAGCCATAGGGTATAATGGGGAATCAATTAAATATTTATAACTTTGTTGTTTTTTGTCTTATTTGGATGAAACTTCAGGGGTGGTAACCTCTGCTGGGAGCATGAAGCCTGCCAAGTTTCAAGCGGATCAGTGCAGGGGTTCAGGGGCAACTGTACCCCAAATTCTTGAAAGCAAAACTCATGTCACACATACGTGTTGTGCCACAGGGGGTTGAAAACTGCAGGGGTGATGGCCCCTGCTGAGGCCATGAAGCCTGCCAAGTTTCAAGAAGATCTCGGTCTTGGGACAGTCGACTGTCTGTATTGATTATTTCCTCTCCTTAGTCTGTGGTTTTGTAGGTGTTAATGAGTTAATAAGCAAGGATTAACACCTACAAAACCACAGGCTAAGGAGAGGAAATAATCAATACAGATAATCAACTGCCCCAAGACAGAGACAGTCAGTTGCACAAGCACCCATGTCACTAGTTTTGCCTGTCAGCAGCTAGGGATGCAGGGCCCCAGAAGCCCTGCACCAATCTCCCCATTCTCCTTGACGTTTGTCAGGCTTTGTGGCCACAGCAGGGACTACCATCCCTGCAGCTTTCACTCTGCTGCGCCTTAACACACACAGTGTTACCCATGTTACGAGTTTTGCTTGTCTGCAGGTTGAGATGCAGTTTCCCCCAAGCCCCTGCACCTACCCTCTTGAAACTTGGCAGGCTTTGTGGCCTCACCAGGGGCTACCATCCCTGCAGTTTTCACCCCCCCTGTGGTGTAACATATACACGTGACATGAGTTTTGCTTTCAAGAATTTGGGGTGCAGTTCCCAATAAACTCCTGCACTGATCTTCTTGAAACTTGGCAGGCTTCATGCTCCCAGCAGAGGCGACCATCTCTGCAAGTTTCATCCAAATAAGACAAAAAATAACAAAGTTATAAATATTTCATTGATTCCCCATTATACCCTATGGCCAGATCTCTCAGGCGGCTCTGAAGTTTCGGAGCCACTTTGGCCAGATTGAAGTGGGAACCCGGTCCGGAGCTCCGGATTGGATCGCTGGCATCTGAAGCAGCCGGATCTGAAGCCAGATCGAATAGCTGCCTACTCGCACAGGCCTAGTAAATTGCACCCTGTCAGTCCAGCCAGCAGAGGGCCAGGGTAGCAGGGGTATGCTACCTAGCCATACAGCTCTGCACTTTCAGAATCCTTGTGCCCCAGCTAGCCCCTCTGATGCCTAACACTACCACCCAGAGCCCAAGGCAGAGTGGGGTAGGAGAGCCCCTGGCATAAACTGCTCTGGCCCCAGATCAAATTGATCCTGCTCCAGACGCATGTGTAGATGCTGCACCTAGAAGTAATTTACTACAGCTCAAACTGCTCCACAGTTTATTGCTTCAAATTAATTGCACATGTAGATGTATTTGAACTGGCCTAAATTCACTTTGATGTAAGCTACTCTGGAGTAAGCGCCTCCAGGCAGCCATTAACACATGCAGAGATTAGGGAGCAGATTTGCTGCTCTTTGCAGCAATTTTCCTGCAGCCCTGCAATGGGCCCCTGCCACCACCTAGGGGCTGGCAGGGAGCACGGGGCCAGAGACAATGTGCCTCTGCTCTGGCAGCAGGGAGCTACTGACCCTGTCTTCCTGATCAGGGGCAGGGGACTTGGAAACAGTTGCAGGTGAAGGACAGGTCCCAGGCCCCTACCCTTATCCGCTGGTGGGGCAGCTAGCAGCTCCACTGATGGATCAGGGCAGGGGGCTGACCAGGACAGTTCTCAGCCCCCACCCTGCATACTGGGCAGAGGCTGGGCAGCTTGTTCCCCATTTAGCTCTGTGAGCCCAGAGCTAGGGGAGGAAACAGTCTAGGGACTTGTACCCCACCCAGCTCTGTAGGCATTGAGTCGGGTTGTTAGGGTTTGTTGGCGGGGGGGGGGGGGGGACAGGTTGTGGGGTTTGTTTCCTGCCCAGCTCCATGAATGCACAGCTGGGGGGGTGAGGGGGGGTGGAGAACAGTCTGGGAAGCTTGTTTCCTACCCAGGTCTGTGAGTGCAGAGCAGGGAACAGGCTCCCCTGCCCCCACCATCAGGGAGCTCCCAGCACTGACCCCACAGTTGCGGAGCCAGTGCTAGGAGATAAGGGTCCCCCAGCCCCCCATTCCCTGATCGTGGTGGCGGAGCAGGGGGTTTGGAGCTTCCTGCTGCCAGGGCAGGGGGATATAGTCCCTGCCCAGGCTCCTGTGGCAGAGATCACCCTGGCAGCAGACAGCTCCTGGGGGCAGAGAACTATCTCCCGCCCCCTGGTGGACTGCTGACTGGGAGCAGATTTTGTTTCCAGTCAAGCATCTACACGAATGCTACTGCACTGTGTCATATTGAATGTAATAGTTTGAATGTTTGTAATAGTTGCCCATTAGCCAGTTTAGAAAAAGACAAGATTCATCTTCTTATCTAGGTGACTTTTAAAAGATTGGAAATAAAAGTCAATTCAGTGATATGGAAATTCCTCAAAGTAATTCAAATGGTCAACAAAAGAAAGTAATTACCAAGCAAAAGAATCTGTTAAGAAAGATCCGAGCCCAAATTTGGGAGTAGTGACAGGTTTGGGTAGGAGGGGCCCAAGACGGCAACTCACTCAATAAAAACTGTAATGTACTGTCCCAATTTGGAGGTAACCTCACTTGCAGAACAACGAAGGAAGAATCGCAAGTGTAGGCCGGATCAGACTGATCACCTGAACCACCCTCTCCGTGAACACGAATCTCTTAGTTCACGCTGAAGCTGCAGAGTGCCCGAAAGGGACTGAAGGAAGGGGACTTGTTCCTATCGCTGCTGAGGCCAGCCCATTGAACCGTACTACTGAGGCCAACCCATTAAATTGTACTACTGAGGAATGAAAGCATATCTAGGTGTTTGGCTTCTCAGAATTCTAGGACTGTAAGTATATTATGAAAATAATAGTATTGACTCAAATTTAACTTTTAGTTGTAATTGTAGTTGTTTTTGTAATACTAATTCTTATAGCATTGTTTGGGAAGGAAGTGCATTTGAAGCATTGTTTCTGATATATGTAGTTATTGTGTTCTTAATGTTTGTGGTATTTTTTAAAGCTAAGCAGTGTTATATGCGTAGCAAAGAATTTTAAAATAAAATTGTGTTGTATGAATTAAGTGTGCAATCATTGTGAAATCGTGCAAGTAGCTAAAAATTTCCCCAACCAGTGCACCAAACGAATCAGTAAATTGTGTGGGACCTTTCTCTATTCCATAACCCACTAGAGACACACTGTTACTAATCTCGAGTAAATTTGCTACTTGCATTTGCAGGTAGCAAATTTACTTGGGATTAGGGGGGTTTACTGCTTAGTAAGCATGTGCAAGTGCATATGCCAATGCACGGTTGAGCATATTGTGTAGATATTTTAGAGACATGCCCTTTTAAAGAGAACACATTTTCCCCTTAAATATTCCAATAATTTTTCTATGCTTGATCTCTTTACTGCCTTATAAACAGCCATATGAAGTACTCAGGAAGCATGGATCCAAAAGTGGGCTTAGTATCCATCAGCGAGAAAAAAAAGACAAATTTTTCTTTGCATATAATGTGAAAGGTAATAAGCTGCATGCATTGGCACTGGCTGCTGTCATACAGGACTTGCCTTCTGCATGCCAAGTTGACATGGTCCAACATAGAGAGGAGGAGGGGTCTCTGTGCTGGTCAGGGAGATATTATCCTGACTGGGCAGATCCATTTCCCGGATGACTTGAGGTTTCAGCTTCCCATATCGCAGGCTGCAGTGGCGAAGACTTTTCCTTTGCCATTTTTGAGTGGCATCACTATCTTTGCTTACCCCAAACCAGTCTGCTGTGCCCCTAAAAGACACAAACAAAGCACAGGGAAGGTTTGGGTTTGCATGAATCATACAAATTAGAGAGAGAAAATCCCAATTAGACCAACTCTAGGTCACCCCAAACACTGAGACCAAGCAGGATTCTTCCCTACAGTACATACCAAAGGGTATTTTCAGTCTGGCTTTAATGAAAGTTGGACAAAAAGGTTCAGTAAAATACTGTAACAGAGGAGTCTTTTCAACCAAAATAAAATTTTACAGAAAATTTCCACTTGGTAAAATTTTGTGTTGTTTTTCTAGGTTTTTTTTTCTGATAGAAAAAAACGAAAAATGGGGAAGTAGAGTCAGAAAAAGAATTTTTTTTGGTTTTACTCCCCTCCAAAAACTGAAAAAAATTAGCAGAAAAAAATAATACAATAGAAGATTTTTTGTTTCTTCATAAAAATTTCAAAGAAAACATTGTCATTCTTTGGCCAGCCTTAATTCCCAGTGATGGGCCATATTCCTTTGTTTAGTTCTCCTAAACACTGTTATCCCATAATGGTTTCAACACCAGTACTTCTATTCCAGCAGTACAGTCTAAGAGAGGTGATTCACATATAGGCCACTTGGGTTTTACAAGTTAAAATCAACTTCTCAGAGTTAATCTGGATGCTAACTGGCAGCTAGGGCAGATTAAAGAGCCCTGGTGCCATGTGTTATCATAAAGTATTCAATTCCCCAAGCAAACAGCTACCTTTAGCACTGGCTCCAGTTTCCAAACTGGCACATGGGGCTTCAGATGTAGCCCCACATGACCACATTGCAACACACAGTCAACCTTGAAGTGACAAAAGAATGGGAGGAAATACCTAATTCTACATCTGCTGCACTTCCGATAAAAGAGTTTGAAAACACCTATCCTGCCTCTGTCATTTATTTATCCAAACAGACCTCACGCTGTGAACTGTACTCCAATACCAGCATCATCTCCATTATTGACAGACAAATTCCATCAATAATGGTCTTTATCATGGATCTTAGCTTGCCTGAGTAGCCAAAACTTCTAATTCTTCCAGCACCTCAGTGAGCTACAGAGGCCAAATTTTAAGAGAAAGAAAGCATTGCAGTTGTCCCCTTAGGATACTGTTCTCTTCCTTCAGACGTGAGTAGTCCATTCTGAATCTGAACAACTAACAGTAGCATTCAAGCTGAAACAACCAGAATTAAGTGCTGCCTAAGATTTGACTGACAGTAAAGAGAAGACAAAGGATCTGTCACCTAACTCTCTGTTGCATGACACAAATCTCCACACCCACTGGTGATCAGCAGATGCAGAGGCAATACAGAATAAGGCCTCATGCACAGCCTCAACATAAGATGTCAAACAATCTTTATAGCATTTTGTGAAATTGTTCTCTGCAGTTCTGTTGATAGTGCTGTAGACACCTGCCATACCATTTCATTTGTCATTTGACATTTGTGTACCAGAGTGACCAGCGAGAGGAAAGCCTACATACCCGGTAAGGATGTGCAAAGCGGGCCATATTCAATTCGGATTCAGCCTGATTCGAGGGACAGTGATTCGATTAGCTGATTTGGATCACTGTCCTGATTTGATTCAGCTGAATCCGAATCTGAAGATTTGATTCTGATTCAGAGAATCAGCAATTCGGCCATAGACACAGCTTTATATGTTTTTTCTATGTACCTCAGAGTAACAGGTGCGTCTCGTGAATGCTGAGATGGTGGGGTGGATGGAGCGTCCCGCAGAAGCACAGGGGGGCCCCCCATGTGCTCGGTGGCAGACCTGGAAGTGAACCAGAAGTACTTCTGATCCACTTTTGGGTCTGACAATGAGCATGCGGGGGACTCCCCGCTGCGTCTCCCCAGCTCAGCAATCAGCCACAGGGGGACCCTGGATGTCCCCCCCAAACCCAGGAGGCACCAGTTACTGAGCCAGGGGGAAGGAGGAGGGGTCCCCTGTCCACTCCGTGGTGGACCCAGAAGTGGACCGGAAGGGCTTCTGGTCCACTTCTGGGTCGACAACTGAGCGCACTGGGGACCCCCCTGCACTCCCATGGGACGCTCCATCCGTCCCACCATCTCAGTGTTCACAACCCACCTGGTACCTTGAGGTATGTAGAAAAAACATATAAAGCTGTGTCTATGCCCAAATCATCAAATCTCTCCAAATCTCTCTGAATCGAATCAGAGGCTTCCGATTCAATTTGGAGATATTAATGGGTCTCCTGATTTGATTCAGATTCGCTATCAAATTGTGCCGATCTCCTCCTAATTGAATCAGCGACCGAAGCTTCACATGGCCCTACTATCTGGCCCCTTTACTGAGAGAAGGGAACATACTTCGCCTTTGTGATGCCACAATTTTTTTAGGGTTACACAAAGGCCAAGCAAATAGATGTCCATGCCACTTGTCATGCTACAAATGTCCCACATTGTGGCAGTGACAATAGATGGCATACATTTGTGCCTCTTTTTTGTGGCAGCTATGTTTTATGGAGAGAAAACACAGGCAGCCCAGAGTTACCCATGCTCTCCCACTGCTCAGAAAACATGCTCCCAGGACTTCGGGGGCCTAAATCCTGTGCACCCAAGAAATCACCCTGAAGGGAGATTCTTGAGGCATGCAGTCAGGGTGCATTCTGCAAGCATGTAGTGTGGAACCCCTTTGAGAGCTCCCTCCTTTGTACTTGTCCCCCTACAGGGGGTTTCCCAGGGCATGCATTTCATGCTGCCATGCCCTAGGTCATGGTGTAGTCTGCAAGAAGTGAAGACCTCCATGGAGATTTTCTTCCTCCATGCTTGCAGACATACACCCTGAGTCAGGACAGAGGAATGTGACACATGAGCACCAGAAATCCCCTAAGGGGGATTCAAAGAGCCAATTTTCAAGCAGCAGGGGCCTGACCCTGAGGTTTGGGATACATCCTGGGACACATCAGCTGGTCTAGGACACAACCTGGCACAGCAGATGCCAAAACAAAAATGACAGCTGTTTATAGGCAGAGTCCCATAATCAAATTATCTAGTAAAAACCTTTCATGAGCTTTGGAGGATGATCTCCAAGAGAGGACTCCCCTTGATGTACAGAAAACCCTTGCTATTCATGGGTTTGGCATTCGCAGTTTCAAATATTTGCGAATGCCAAACCTGCATTTTAAATACACTTTATACACTTACAGGAGGAGCTCTGTGCTTGCTGCTGCCGTGCTCCCACCACCAGGCTCCCACTGCCGTGCTCCCACCGCTGCCACTGGAGCCATGCCCCCCCACCCAGCTGCCGGGGGCACTGTGTTCATGAACGTAGACTGCATTCATAAACACGGTGCCTTATTCACGGATTTTGCCATTCATGGGGATCACAAGAACATATCCCCCGCGAATGGTGAGGGTCACCTGCAGGTGTGAGACCCCACTTATCAACCAGAGCAGGTTTGAATTATGGCTATGAAGGTTCCACTACAAAGGCAAAATTTCCACCCTCCCAACTCCTAACCCTAGAGCAAACACCAAATCCAGAGCTGGGTGGGTCAGTTGCATGAATTCATCCAGCTGGAACCTAAGACATCCCCATGCTCACCATGGCAGTCAGAAAATCCTAAATTGAATCAAATGTCATCTACATAGCCATGGAAGCCACACAGCACTACCTCAATCTCAGGAACATCATCACTTCTTGCAAGGATTCCATGATGCACTGGCACAAGTAGTGAAAATGAATCATATCTTAATCCTGTTATGGGGCTCAGATACCAGGTGTACATTACTTCTGGTATGAGGCTATGGCCTAGCACAGTAACACAGGACATAGGACTGTAACAGACCTGCTGGGCCATCCTGTCAAGGCCCTGCTATCGCATGTACCACACCAGAGTCTAATTCATAAATATATCAAACTCCATCTTAAAACCTGTTCAGTTTTTTTGGCCTACTCCTCCTATTGATAAATTGTGATGGAATCAAACAATGTAATTCTAGTGGTCTATCACACAGCAAAAAGTGGAGAATAAAATCCATTGGTATTAGTATAAGATGTGTCCTGGCACTGAGGAGAGACAGACCTCCTTAATGCTGAGGAGCTGTGGCAAACTCTTGTAAAAGAAAGCATTTTTTGAGTAAAGTAATAGCTCTGATGTTGGGATGGAACAGGTAGATATCCTGTTCTATTCACCATAGTACCTGAGCACCTTATGGGAAGTAAATGGTATCACTTCCATATGGCTTATCCTCTTTCCCCTTGTACTCCATGAGAACTTTTTGGGACTTTTCATGGTCATACTGCATAACAGAATTGTTAAGGCAGGCTAAAGAAATGTACTGTGTACTTGGAACATTGTAGCACTTGGCAGTTCCTGTGGGAGACATTCCTGTTGTGGAGGTAGCCAGGAGGCTGATAGGAGGGAGGGAAAAGAGAGAGAGGCAGGCAGACCAATGACTCATTAGTTAATATCATGCTATTTATAATTGCTGACATACTTAATAAGCATGACCATCTTCTTCTGTTAGATGTTCATATTACAATCCCCCATGTTGAGCACTTGTCAGCATCCTGCCCAGCTCCAGGCTCTTTGTGGAAGGTGGCACAGTGCGTGGCAAGGCTAGCATCCGTGCACAATTCACAGCAGCCCTTGCACACACATGCATTGGGTGGGCTTCACACTGAATGCTACTGGTACCTGAAGAACGATCTGGGCAATGACTGCCGATTTCTCAGAGGCCTTCTGCCTGCCCGATGCCCATGAATGGGCAGAGTTTGAATCCTCTGAAACCGCACCTGTCTGCTGCAAAGAAAACACAGCTGAAGGGAGGCAGTCTCCCAGGCTAGGGAGAGAAAAAACATAGCCTCAAGGAAAAGCCTGTGGCTGCAATACAAGAACCCCTCTGCTGCTGGTAACTTGCATTTGGCCCTTGGGAAGAAGTACTAGCATTTCTAAGTTTGTTAGGCTGCAGAAACCCTCTTACATATTCACATTTGTGACCAGATTTCCCTGTGGCTCCCACTGACACTAGACAGGACTATATATCAAGAAGACATCCATAAATCATGTCTTATTTAAGTGCCTAGCTATAGATTAACTTCCTGGTTTTGGATTTGATCTGTCCATGACTCTGTTTCTTCCTCTGTAAATGTGGATGCAACTGACTGACCCCATGAGGACAGAGGGAGAAGTCATGAGGCTGAATTAAATGTACCTGGCATGTCATCAACTCAAACTCAACATGGCTAAGACTCCTAATTTCGTTACCCATCTCTGCCCACTCTCTATTTCACCCTCCTCCCCATCAGTAAAACTGTAACACAGGCAGCAGACCTCTGAGTCCTCCCTCATTCTCTCTCTATACTGAAATCTAAACTATGGGAGAGAATTCTGCTGCTCTTCCTTTTCAGCATCACTACACTTACCTCTCTTCCAAATCGCCTTCCCCAGTATATCAAATTTAGCTTTTTATTCCTCCACTTCAGAGTTTGCCTCTGCTCTTTTCTACTTATCTGATTTCCTTTCATCAAACCATTCTTTGCCCTGGTTGGTAACCACACTGTGACCCTAAGCCCTGTGCTGCTCAGGGAATGCACAAGCCAAAATGGTTCACCAGACATTTGCCTTCTCCTCCTTCACATCTTTCCTTAGTGTTCTGCAGGAATATCTACATGCTGGGTGATCAAAGTCCGTCTTCAGAAGGGGAATAAATGAAGAAAATCCATGCCCCTAGAAATTCTCTGTGCTGCACACAAGCCTCTGTTGAGTAGTCCCACCATCTCATTGCAACATGTTGGAAATTACATGATAGAGGCAGGCAGAACATTTTCAGAAGTACTTACAATTGACAAAAAAGTGACTAGAACTTTTAGAACAGGCTGTCCCTCTGTATTTTCAGGAAGAGGGGCTGTAAAATAATAATTCGTGAAAAATGAGTAGCAGAAATATTAATGAAAACCCAGAGTTGGTCTACCAGCACAACATTTTCCAGAAGGGCAGGACTTGGGATCTGTCAATCTGCCAGTTGAAGAGCCAGTACTGGGCATGTCTGTCCCATACAGTAGACCAGTAGTTCTCAGTTGGGGTACCCCAGCACCCTGAGACCCTCTCAGGTGTGCCACAGTGTGGGCACTGCCACAGGGACCAGGTGGATCTGCCCCATGCACCTTGTGCACAGCCAGACTGGGAAGGGCTGTGAAATGAACGTGCACTTCTACCTGCAGGGGTGGATCCAGTGGTGCAGTTGCATCCTCCTTTTAATTCTGGTCCACCTACAGTTCAAAATAAACTGGATTGCAGTGGCAGTAGCATATCTATTCAGGCAGTTCTGAGGGAATCCATTGACTTCCTGGCTTCGCATTCTTTCAAAAATCTTCGTTCCACATATGTTAATGACCCTCTCTCCTTTGTAATGGTCTTCATGCTCCACTGATCAAGCTATCCTTTCTTCTGCAGTTCTGATTTTTGTTATCTGTACCTGGTAATATAGCTTCTACATCACAGTTCTGCACACTATTTTAACTCTAGCTAAAAATAACAACTCAGGTGTGGAAATGTTAACTTGGATAAACATTAACTCAGGTGTGGAAATAACTTTCAGTGAGGCACTGGATGTACTCTCAAGATGCTCAAGAAAGCTAGGTTTTGTTTTATGAATCTGAAATAAAAGTTTTTTTATTTTAATCACTACAGGACTAATGAAACAACATCCTGGCCAAGTTGTTTGTGTTTTTATACACAATATGTTGTGTAGCAAATTAATGCACATTCCAACAAGGTTACATTTCTTTTTGCTTTTATCTCAAAATCAATAATATAGTCCCAGGCCCATAACATATCAGTAAATCCTCTAGCTTCTTTTTTAATTGGAGAAAAATGTGCTGTGTTATATATGATGATATATCACACTATATGCACTCCCTGCATGCCCGCCCTTTTCAAAATTCTAGATCCACTGGTAAACATAAAGCAGGCAGAAATGTCTGCTCTTGATACAGCCTTTTCCAGTCCAACCTTGCTCACTGTCTCAGAAACAGAGGCATGCAGCACAGGTGAAACTGTTCTATGCACCTCTGTTGCCAGGAAGAGCATGAGAGAGCTAGCCTGGGAAGGCCTTCAGCAAGAGCACGCACTTCCTACACAGCCTCAGAAGATGTTCCATCCTGAGTATCACAAGGGGGGAAGATTCAGTCCCTCAATGCTACTAATGCAGGAACAAGGGAAAGGGAGCCTGTGCCTTCCTCACTTAGTGATCGAAATGTATGAGCTCTATGCACTGCAGAGATACAAAATTTCTGAAGCACTAGTCTGCCTTAGCCACTTCTCTTCCCATCTTCATCTGCCACTTTTTTCCTCAGGCCTTCCCTCAGACATCACCGTGAACCCAAGTCTCTTGCACAAGTTGTGGAATGGCATTTCTGCCTGGCTTAGAAGCCTCTCCTCCACAGAGATATCTCAGCATGCACCCCATAAGCAATCAATGCTCCAGTCATCAACGCTTTCCCATTCCCACATATAGCAGGCACCAAGGGGAGATCCAAAGGGAAGAGTTCATCCCCGTGGGTGCTTTAGGGGTCAAGTGGGGAAATTTGGGAGACAGAGAAAACAGTACTATGATTCTGAGTCTCCTTTTACATAACTGGGGAGTGACAACCTTAGAGCCAATGGAACCCTGCATTCATGGTGTATGTAAAAGGGACTCCTGTCACAATGTCACTGGCTGAGGAGAATTCAAATGTATTCATTGTTCATCAACATTGAAGCCCTGATCCCAGCTGGTGCAAGGTTAAAGGGAATAGAAACTCAAACCAGGGAGATACTGGATATCATCCCAAATGCAGAGTGAAAGTGTCATTTCTGCCAATTAGTTTAACTTGTAGTCAAAGACCACTTTGGGAAGCAGAAGCTCAGTTCCCTGCTGCAAGCAGCCTAGGTTCCATGGCAGGTAGCAGGGGCCTGCCCAGAACCCAGGCTGGCTGAGGCAGGTGGTCAGGAGGCTGGAAGCCACTGCACCGAGGTCTACAGAGCCCCCGACAGGCTTGTTCCTAGCAGTGGGTGCATGCACACCTCAGGGCAGTCAGCAGGGAACAGGCAGGGGGGCTGCATTGCCACAACAAGGATCAAGCCCCTCATAGCTCCCCCACTGTCTGCCCTAGGTGTGCATGTACCCACTCCCATCAACAAGCCAGGCCAGGGCCCCACAGACCTCAGTGCAGCGACTTGCAGCCTCCTGGTCACCGGCCATAGCTGGCCTGGGCTCTGGGCAGGCCCCTGCCTACTGTGATGGAGCCCGAGCTGTTTGCAGCAGGCAGCGGGGAGGCTGCAAGCATTTGCGCTATGGTCCATGAAGAGCCAGGCTTATTGTTGGTGGCAGGTGCAAATGTGCCTCTGGGCAGATGGCGGGGGAGCTGTGAGGGGCTTGATCCTTGTATGGCAATGCAGCCCTGACCCCTTCCCCACCATCTACTCTGAAGCTCATGTACCAAGCAAAATGCTTTCATGTGCCATGGTCTGGCACATGTGCCAGGGGTTGCCGATCCCTGATCTAGATACTAACAGTCTTAAATGTCACAAATTAATCACTAAGAAAGTAAACATTTGCCCAGCTGCAGAGTGGCTCTCCTTAATGACTTGCCCTATGTTGCCCCCCACAACTGCTATTTTCAAACATCCTCTTTCCATCCAATGCATATGCCAAACGTATGAAGATTGCTGTGCAGCTATCAGCCAGCTCTACTTTTCAGAAAGGTAAGGTCAGGCTGTCTGCACAAAGCAAGAAGTACATACATGGTTTAACTTGCTAGTAATAGGAATGGATCCAGGAAATTTGCTGAAACTTTCTAGAAATCTATCCCCTTCTGGACAAAATCAAGCTGAAAAAGTATCAAGCCAGAAAATTGTTCAAAATTAACAGGCTGCAGAAAAAAATGATTAGAAGTTTGCATGAGTGGGGCTCTCCCAGCACAACACAGAATTTTGTCCTAACTGTAAATTTAGGGTTAGTTTGATTTTTACTAAAATAATGGAATTGGTCTCATTTTGCAAGATCCAGCTCCTTCTATGCATTTGGGTCACGTAGTGACAAAGGCTTGGTTCCCTGACCAAAGACTATTAAATGTGCAGGTTTTTGCAGCCTTCATCCCAACGACCTACTTATGCACTTATGCTTGTTGGAAGGAGCCTATGAATAGCCACAGGAGCATTGCCATTGAAGTATTCCTTCGATGTCTAGCTCTTATCCATACCTCCACTCTCACAGGAGGCAGTGTGGCTGCTTCCAACTGCAGAACAATCTCAGAGAGGAAGACAATTTTTTGTTATTGATTCTTACAAAATGGCAAGTACGGGAGCAGGCAATGGAAAGGGCAGATAGCCATGAGACAGGGCAGAAGTACTGGCCCCAGAACAAGTTTTGGGAGGGACTGGGCCTGGTGTGCAGGACAATGCAAGTTCATTGGCTGGTACATTCTGCTTTACTGTCAGCAGTCCAAAGACAATGGCCCTGTCCCACCTGGGATGATTTCAAGCACATTTCCAATGTGCAGCCATATAGTACAGTAAAATCATTACAGGGGCTTTCTAATACAAGGAAAGCATAATGCAGCAACACGAGTGTGCTTTTAATGGTCTGGTATTGCTTCCAAGTAAAGTATTCTTTGCTGTTGGAATTACCCATTGGATTTCACTATCCAGAATTTTGAGGAAATAATTCATTGCATCTCTCCAGAGAATGAAAGCAAAGCCAGAAGGACTGTCACTAGAATCCCAAGGACTACTCTTTCCAGGTTAAAAAAGTGTCTGTGTACAGTGCCTCCTGCCTTACCTTCTGATGGTTTGGGTGATTGATGTTTGTCGTTGTAGCATTGGCTTCCTCACCTCATTTGGCAGAGAGGGGATCCGAGTATTCTCAACAGGCATGCTAACACTTCTCAGAAAGACTTGGCGTTTAATTTGCTGTAAAGCAAAGTGGAAATTGGGTTAAGACTCCTGCTCCATGTTCATTCCCTAGCAAGACAAGCTGAGGCAGGAAACATAATGAACCCAGAAGTAAGGAAGCTTCCGTAGCTAAGAGCTGTCTGTTTCAGGGATTACCTTGCTCTTGCATCAGGCTGTGCCATTCTGGCCTTTGCCATGTGCTGAAGAAGCTGTGCCCCCCCCCTTGTTCAGGGCCCTTCTCCCTGCACATACGCACATTCATAGCTCTTCAGAGCCCAGAACAGAGCACTATTTACACAAATGAAAAGGACGTTGCCATCATTATTATACACAAGGAAAATTCAACAAATGGAGAGAAAAGGCTGAGTGATAACTTGTAACTGCAAACAATCCAGTGAAGAGCAGGAAATCAGGTCACAGATGAATAAGCCTCTTGTAAAGTGAATGTGGGAGGTGGCTGAGAACTCAGGCAGAGCGGAAGGGGTAGAATGTAATGATAAAAGCAAAAAGTCTTGCCCTCATCAATGCACACAACCAATGGTACTCTACAATTGAGCAAGTCTCTTTTTTGACAAGCCATCAGTCACTTTACAATCTATAGAATAGCTCACCCACCTGGGCTAGTTTGGATGAAGTTTTCACCCAGTTTGTGTAAGGCGCTGTATCATATATTTAATCAAATGCACATCTTAAATTCAGATATGCACTACTTCATCTACTTCTCTAATTTCCTGATGTTAAAATTTGAGCAGTAATCACATTTCTCTGGCAAAAGTCAATCTTTGTAAAGCAAGGCTGCTGCAGATACTCAAAATGTCTACATCAGTCACTCTCAACCTTTTTAGATACAAGGCACCCCTCAGAAAACGTCTGCTCTTAGTTTTCACTTGAGTTTTAACTGCAAAAAATGAGAGAACAAGAACTCAAAAAGACCACAACAGATCAGAGTGTTTTTAACACTATGGATTCCTATTTGAAAATTCTGGGTTTATCTTGTGAATCATGTTTGCACACCTAACAGTGCTAGGCATTGCATGGCATCCTGCAGCAACACCAGGTGCCATGACACACAGATACCCTGGCTGAAAATCAGTGCTTTATATGTCTAGTGATTTTTTTCAATCTATTTTTGTTCCACAGATACTCAAACTGTGAGGCCAGAAGGCACCATTATGATCTGTAAGACTGCATTATACAGGCCATTTATTTTCACACAGTAATTCCTTCTTCAAGACCATAATTTCTGACTGGGCTAAAACATGTCTTTTAGAACATTCCGTTTTAACTTAAAGGCTTCAAGTGAGAGGATCCATCAAATCTTTAGCTAACTAGTCCAGTGTCTAGTTACCTTCACTGTTAAACATAAGCATCTGTCTACTTGTCTGAATTTGTCATGTTTCAGTTTCCAGCGACTGGATCTTGAGATAAGACACTGTGATGAACCCAATTCTAATATAATAAAGGGCTTAATCTGTCTGTCTGTACATCTGTAATGCTCTTGGAGCATTCTGATTGGTTACTGAAACAACCAATCAAAGTGCTCCAAGAGCGTTATGGACAAGAGGCGGCAGTACGGTGGAGCGCCACCGTGACAGAGGGGACAGAGCGGGGGATGAGGCCAGTGCCGCTGGCCTCGTCCCACCCCTCCTGCTCCTCAGAGGTGGTAAATGTATATTTACACATATTT